TTGTAATTTAAAATGGACGGTGCTGGCTGGACAGAGGGACAAACTCTGATCCAGGCTAAGTTAATCAGTCCTTAAACAGAAGCAATACAGACTGCTCTGAGCAGAGGTGGAAGGCAGAAGAAACAGCATCTGTGAGAATTCAAGGTCCCCGCACCATTTCACCCACACCAACCCACCCCCAGCCTACCAGGGAGGGACGAGGGTGAGTCACCCCTGTGACTGTGGAGGAGACTTCCTCCCTTTGGGAAAGGCTCACAACCACCCCTACCTTCTCCGTCAGTTGGGAAACAAGGCCAGGGAGCTATTCTCCAGGGAATTTAGAATTCAGCACAGTGTGAGGGAAGGGAGCAGCTGAGGAGCAGGGAACAGTACCTGGAGATCCCTTCTGGGAGCGGGGAAAAAGTGAGCCCCCAGGAACGGGGCCGTGCCGGTGCTCCTCTGTGCAGGAGCTGCACAACCATCGGTTGCAGTAGGTGCAGAGGATGTGTGCTGCCCTCTTCTCCTTGCACTCAGAGCAGTTCTAGAAACAGAGTCGGCAGTTACTGACCATGACCTCTCTTGGGCCTGCCTACAAATGCTTCAGGGACTGACATCCTACAGGGCAGTTCCTCCACTACTGTGGAACATTGTCCGCTGGAGAACAGCCTGCAGTGCTTGTGAGAGAAAGCACCCTTTGGGATGGAAAGAGCAGTGGCCACTCCAGGAGCTGTTCACAGAAGTCCCTGCAGCAGCGGAGGATACCCCGATGAATAAACCAAGGATCTGCCCTTAAGGAATGCACAACTTAGGCAGGGTGGTACCCATTAAATAGGTAATGCTGTGACCAAAACTGATACAGCAACTGCTAGGGAAGCAAAAAGATGTTTCCAGGAACTTATTCTACGAGTGGTCGGGAGAGTTTTTATTAGGAGGTCACATTTAATTTAGATATTGAATGACAAGGAGGTTCACCAGGCAGGCAAGGGAAAAATAGTTGTAGAGGAAAAGCATAGGCAAAAGCAGAATATCTGATGGGCCTACAAAGGGGAGAAAGCCCCAGATGTAGGAGCATACAGAAAGATGACCATATATAGTTAAGGAAGAGAAAGCACAGAACAACTTTAAGAGCTGTTTCTATACCTGGGGTCTGCTTGGCCTGAGAGTGCCTAATCCTGTCCTAGCCGAAGTATTCATTCATTTGGTCAGCAAACATCTTGCCAGAGCTGATTTAAACCATCATCCCAAGCATACTGGGAAAGCTTGACTAAGTGTCTGAATCATACTGGCTACCAAACTGATATGGATTCTGAAAGTTTTGCTAATTAGACTATTAATTCCTTAGAAGGACAATACAGCAGGGCCTTGCACATAATAAACATTCAATAAGACTTAGATAAAAGAATCAAGTAAGTAAATAAGTGAATAAATAAAATGTAGTGGGTAAGGACACCTTAATGGAGAGTGGATCAGAGGGCATTCCATTCAGTAAGTGACAAGAAATTTAGAAACTCAGGAAAAAGATGTTAGTTCTTAAATATGGGCAAGATTAACTAGCCCCTTAAATCTAGACTAGTGTGTGAATTTTGACTCAAGGTAGAAAAAAGAGAAAATAAAAGCAAAGTAAGAGGTATAAGAAAAAGAAAAACAACTTTAAACAATACTTAGGATACTTTAAGATACATCCAACTTCCACTCAAAGAACTGACACTAGCTAGGTGTGAGAGGCACTGCTGGAATCTTAGCACTCTGTAGGCTGAGGCAGGAGGACTGCAAGTTTGAGTCTAGCCTGGGCAGTTTAGCAAGTGAACAATGCCTTGTCTCAAAAATAAACAATGTGAAATGGGTGGGGGAGACATAGCAAAGTGCAAAGACTGTGTGTTAAAGCCCCAGGATAGCCAAACAAAGAAAAAAAACCAAAACAATGAGAAAAGCAGACACTAAAGGAAAAGCCTATATATTTTTCACTTAACAGAAAACTCCCAAATCAAACATTTTTATATTCTTCTAGGTAGACAGATGGACTGATGGCTGTGAAAACTGGAGGAATAGTAGGTCAGATAGCATGATAGGTGGATAGACTCACAACCAGAGACCTCACACGTCTCTGAAAAGGATCAGCTGCTCGCTTCCTTTGTCCTGACTTACCCTGGCCATTTTGGGTTGCTCAGGAGGAAAGCACGGCCAAAGAAAATGTTCAGTTACATCCCTGGTAAGACACACTTGGTTACACCTGGGACAGGAGATGAGTTCTGCGGGGAAAGAAAGACATCAGAGTCAGGGCGACATAGCAATTATACCAAAGGACTCGACAGAGGCTAATATACAAAACCAAGATATGGGGCAATGTTCCCCTGTGCTAAAATGGGCTGTGTTTGGTGCTATAGCCTGCAGTTACCATGGAACTACTCTGGACATGACTGTCCCATCACACTCCTGACCTACAGACCATTTGGTCTCCTCAAATCCCTGTCACCACGCAGTCCTACCTTCCTCCCCTCCTCACAAGCCACACGTCTACATACCCATGCCTATTCTGCTTCTGACAATGAGATGCTTTCCTACTGCTTCCATTTCTCATTTTATATCCCTGAGGGCTCAGCATGGTAGGACATCCCTATAACCCCAGCACTCTGGGAGGCCGAGACAAGAGGATTTCAATTTCAAGTGCAGCCTGAGCAATTTATCTAGCCAGAGAAAGACAAGGCCTCCCTGCCTGTGCATGCTAGAGATGTCTTTCTCTTCGTAGAGCCAATACCAGTGTGCTCAGAGGTTCAGAGCTCTTTTGCTGGGCTACAGCCACCTCGTTCGTGTTGGGTGCACCATATGTACATGAGTGTACATCACTTGTGAACAGCTTGACTTACTCCCTTTCCCTAGAGAAGTACAATGGTCTTTTAACACATTCCATGGCATACTGAGCTTCTGAACTATACAAGTGGTATGACACTGTCACCCTAGAGATTACACTGACCCACACTACGAGCAGTAATCCCAGTGGGAACAAGGAGATGAACCCCTGGTGTAGAACAATACCCCCAGGGGTGAGCATGACTTGGAAAGAGGCTAACTGCTTCAGTGACTGCAGCAGAAACACCACAATCTTATGTGCTTCAGCTCATCAACATAGATAGAAATGATACAAAGCCAGCTGCTACAGACATGAGCTCAGACAAATTTAAATCCAAATACAAGGTTTACCATCCAATGACCTTGGGTAAATCACTTAATCTCACTTAACTCCCCTGTGTTTTTTCATCATATGTAGAACAGAAAAAGAAAATAAGTGTTCCTGTAAGAGTTAAATTAGATAATACTTGGGAAAAAAACCATAATCCTCCATAAATGTTAACTTAAAATTCAAAAGGTTCTTTATATCTCATTCGTGGTAAGGGAATAACCTTAATTACCACCTCTGTCATGATGAAAGTTATTCTGAGTGGTAGAGTGAAAAGCTGGCTACAAATTCTTCCCTTCCCTGCAATCATTCCTTCCCAATCCTACCCTAAAACTGTAGGACTCTCTACCCTTTGTATCTAGGCTAGCCCCATGACTTGCTTTGGCCAACAGAATGCAACAAAAGTGGCAATAAACAAGATCCAAGCCTAGCCCTAAGTGGCTGTATATGAACTCTGTTTTTGCTCTTAGAACTAACTCTAAAACAGCCTTTTGAAAAATCTACCCTGGGAAGTTTAGATTGCTGGAAGATGAAGACCATGAAGAGAGAGGCCTCAGTTGTCTCAGACATCCTCCCTGAGGCATCCTAAGCCAGCTGGCTCCAAGTGACAATCACAGGAGTATAGCCAAGATTAGCCAAGCCCAGCCCAGCCCAGCCCAGCCCATTCCAGGAGAATCACCCAGACAGAGCCAGGCATGGTAGGACATCCCTATAACCCCAGCACTCTGGGAGGCCGAGACAAGAGGATTTCAATTTCAAGTGCAGCCTGAGCAATTTAGCAAGACTTTGTCTCAGAAAGAGGGGTTTGGCATAGGGATGTAACTCAGTGCAAAGGCCCTGAGTTCAATCCCCAAAGAACCACAGGAAGAATCCTAGCCTAGATTGCCAATCTATGGAATCATAAACTAAATCAAGTTTAGTTGTTTTAATAGGATCTATTATTATGCAGCAAAAGCTAATTGTTACAAAATCAAAATCCACAAATCATATAAAATAATAGTTCAGTACTCCCTCCTCGCCCACAAATGCAAAGTTCCCTGTCTTTGCAGAGCTATGGACTGTGATGACAGAACAGCATCTGGACTCTCCTGCCAGTCAAGAACAGTGGCCAGAGGTAGAGAAGGATGCTCTCTACAAGTGACGTCATCCAGAGCCATCAAGAGACTGTCCCTCCCTCCCACTTGCTCACCCTAGGGAGATCCTCCTCATCTACCTCCTAGGCGGAAATGCTGCTCTAACAATGGTTTCCACAAGACTTCTAACTCCCTAGTACCAGACGCCCAAGCATTAATCTTTGTAACATAGCCTCATTAACAGAATGAAAAGGCAGAAAGAAGTGAATCGTAGACAAGGCCTCCTCACACATCCTCCAACTCTCCTGGCCTTAGAGTCCAAATCCACAATTTGGCATCCAAGGCCCTCTGGTCTCATCTCTAGCTTCATCTGTGTTTGCCAGCCAAAAATCTCTGCTATCTCCCAGACAGACCAAACACTTGCGTGACTCTATAAAGACGCTGTTCTCTCTTTCTGAAAAACTTTCTTGCTCCCATCCTTTTCAGATAAACTCCTATTCATCCTTTCAAACCTGTTCAAGTGTTCTGCCTTTGAGAAGCAGCATTGATTTCCCCCAGGATGAGTTAATTAGTCCCTCTTCAGGTTTCCCACATCACCTTGCACATCCTTCTAGTATAACAAGTGTCGCACTGCATTTTAACTGTCTGCTCATATGTCTACATACAAAAATAATCCACAATTGGCATTAAAGAATATTGTTTGATTTTTTAGCAGATTGGACAATTATATTTCTTTTATGTTGGTGTATTTCACGTGTATTCCTTGCTTTCAGAGCCCACAGCAAGTAGTAAGAAGCCATCTGGAAGTTTTCTGGAGGATCAGAAAAAGCCAGCCTGGAATAATTTTTTAAAAAAGAAGTAGAGTTATGGTGCTTGGGAAAAGCTGTGAGAAGTGAGTTCCAGGCCCAGCGTTGGCACAATCTATGTAACCCTGGGTGAGTCACCCTATTTCTCTGAACCTCACTTTCTACATCTTCAAAATGAAGGGAAGAGGAATAGCAAGGAAATCTGGATTATCTGACCCTTGTCCTCTCCCTACTGCAGCCAGGCATTAGAAATATTCCCCTGGCCAAGATGGGAAGGGACAGACCTGGCTATCATCCTTGTCAGAAAGCTGGGGGACAGAAGGGCTGGTGGCTGAGGAGAGGGAGGTAAGAGATCATCCCTCTGGGCTACTGCAGCAGATTTCCACAAGAGATGGAGAATCATTTCACCAACTATGTACTTACAATATTTATTATTAATTTAGTTATGAATAAATATTTAAATCACATCATACATAAAATATTATTTATATCTAGTGCTTATTTCTATTTGTATTATTCATTCTACAGGTCTGAGTTTTTATTTCATGCACAGAAACATCAGGCCTAAGAAATAGGGAGTCAGGAGCAGAGGGCCACCTGATTTTCCCCACAGGAGGTAGAGCTTCTGCTTCCAGAATAAGGAAGTCATAGACACCAAAGGTCCTCCTGGGGCCCTAAAAGCCTAGGAGAGAACAGCTCTAAAAACAAAGGTCGGGGCTGGGGATCTAGCTCAGTGGCACAGTGCCTGCCTGGCGCGCGCAAGGTCGTGAGTTCGATTCCCGGTCCTGGAAAAAAAACAAAAAACAAAAAAAAAACAAACAAAAATAGAAGCAAAGGTCATTCAGTCCATCTGTCATGATGATGAAAACTTCTGGTCCCCAGGAGGTGTAAGACCAATTTACAACTGCTTACCACCACTTTCTGTACCACGCTTTACTCGTGCTATCTCACTTTATGCGTGTTATCCCATTTAATCATCAAGCCAGCTCTGAGAAATAGGCATTAGCCCCATTGGATAGTTGGAAAGACTAAGGCTCCCAGAAGCTGTCCCCTGTTAAAGGTCATACATGCAAAAGCAGAAGTATAATTCGAACCCGTGCCTCTGAAAGCCATGCCTTTCCACTATGCTATACTTCTCTCTAATTCAGTGCTAAATAAACAAAATAATTTTATTTTAATTAACTTGATAATTTGATTATAAATAAAATATTCCATAATAATCATCTGACTATAATAATGACCTGGACCCAGGTCATTATCCGGGCTCTGGCAATCCAGATGGAGCTGGGAGCCAGCCACACTGTACTTAAAGCCTTAAGAAATACGATCTTTGAGAAAAGGCAAGTGAAATACAGATTTTCCGCCTAGAGAAAATAATTCTAGAGGTCATTTCATTCTATAAAAAACAGTGGTCCTCAAAATCTGCTACAAATCTGAATCATAGGGTCTTTTAAATATCCTGATTTGGGGCTGGAGATGTAGCTCAGTGGCAAAGTGGAGAGTAGTTACCTACTATGCACAAGGTCCCAAGTTCCATTCTCAGCACCACGAAAACAAAATTCCCAATGGCTGGTCTATATTCCATAAAGATTGAATTTCAGGAGATAGAGCCCAGACATCAGTAATTTCTTTTTAATTCTCCAAGTGACTATAATGTACAGTGTAACTAAGTCTGAGAACCAGCACCTCAAACTTCTGACAGGTCTATCCTCTATACCATGAAGATGAGAAAAGCAGATAGTTACGGATTTCCCCTCTTGCAGAGAAAAGGGCAGATTCCCAACAGACAGAAGGCTGTCCTGAAACCCAGGTACTGCGGGGATTGACACTGAGTTGAAGGACATGTTTACCTCCCCTGACTCGAAGCTCAGTTAAAGGACCCAGGCTTAGAGTGTGGCCTGAGGTTTGCTGCTGGGCCCTAGCGTGCGCTAGGCCCAGGACCTAATTGCGCAGCAAAAAAGAGAGGCCTAGACCAATAGTCTACCTTTCAGAGATGAATGGCAGAACCAAGGTAACCGGGGCCTTGGAGGGCATCAGAACTAAAGAGAGAAAGAAATCCCAGAGGACACAGAAAGCTGGCATAGGGGTCACCTCAGGCTACCAGGACAGCACATGCACACCAGGTGCAGAAACCTGAGCCAGTGCTACGCTGCTCTAGGAGGGTCGGGTGGGGGAGCTTTCATTCCTCCGCTCTCATCCAGGGCTCCATGAAACTTCCGTTTAGGCCCAAGATCTACCCTGACAGAGCAGTGGGATCCACCAGAACAGCCCAATGCTCCTCTGCTAGTGCCCACAGGTAGAACCAGAGCTGGACAGACCATCACTGTTCATCTAGCCAATTCCCTACCACACAGAAAGAGACCTGGAGACCCTGAGAGAGGCAGGGACTTAGCTAAAACCCACATAGACCTTGCAAAACATAGGTGCTACCTTGAGTCACTGAGCAGCGCTTGATTACTTCTATAGCCACAGGTAAGAAACTACCTTACTATGCCTCTCCTAGCCACAAAGCGAGAAGAAGAAAAAAACACTCTGGATGGATGCTCTGGCAGGCTAGCTGTCCTCACTAGCCATTCATGCCCTCCCACCCCAGGAAGCCCCAGGATGCTGAACATCGGATAAGGCCCCAACAGAAGCCCCTGCAGCCTTCCTCTAGCTCGCAACTCAGCAACAGCACCTCTGAGAAACACACTGCACCCACTCCTCAAATGCTCAGCCTCTGCTAGAAAAACAAACTGTGACCCAAGACACCCCTAAAGTGACTACCAATTTTGCCCCTGGTTGCCAACAGGCTTACCTGTTGCCCTGCTGCCCTGTGAGAGAGCAACACCTGGGAGAGAAGTCAGAGGAGTGAATCAGAGGAGCGACAGGTAAGACCACCACTGGTCCCGGAGGGTAGGAAGCCCAGGAGCCCACCCTCCACGCTGCAGCAGCTGGGCTGCAGGGCCTAAGCCTCGGGGAGCTGGGTTCTGGGTGGGGTAGGGGGAGCAGCCTGGAGCCTCTCCTTGCTCTGATGCGTCCTCAGCCAGGGCTGCATTTCTCTAGCTCACCTGAGATGCTCCTGCAAGAAAGAGCTTGGTTGACTCCTCCTGTTCCTGTTTATCTCGAAGGCTCTGCAGCAATTTTCACAAACTGAACAGCAAGAGGGAGACCTCAAAGAGGCGACTCTCTTCCTAGCTGCATCTCCTTCCTAATCCTCTGGGTGCCTCGGAATAGAAGCTCAGAAGGAAGAAAACGAGATTTTCAACTTTCAGGAACTAGCTCTGTCGCCCTCTGCACAGCTCGGGAGGCCATCACTCTCAGCCTTTTAGGACTCCATCCAAAAATCCTTCAGCCCTCCATGTTCCCCAAAATGACAGTGCTCATGTGTGGCTGGAACCTGCCCGGATCCGGCAGCTCATTTAAATAGAGCTCATCACAACAACAGTGTTGGTGGAGAAGTGAGTAGCTGCAGGGCCCTGGGGACCCCCTGTTTATACGTAGGAAGAATGATGCAATCTGGGTATCAAAATAGCAATCCAGAATGGAATAACAGACTCACGCAGCAGCGGTGCCTGCACAGCCAGAGCTCAAGTTGACACACACTGTCAGCCCCACACTGCTGCAGCACGCAGATGCCAGGCACACATGAGCACTGCATCATTTTAAAAAACAGCAGGAGCCCAAGAGATCCCTCCATGCCCCCAGCACTGAAGGAAGATGTGGGGAGGAGGGGCTTCGACAGACATTAAAATCTGTCTCCTACACACTCACCTGCTCCTGCCACTTCACCTGAAGTCCTTATCCTGTGACGTCACAGGCAGTTGCCATAGTGACCAACTGTCCGTCACAAGCAGAGGATTAGGACTTCAGATGGAGAAGACACATATTTATCAGGCACAAAGGTCCTGGAGGATGTCCCTCGGCAGCTAACTCTATCTCCTTGGGAGATACAATCCCACACAAGCCAGGAGGAAAAAGGGAAGGAAAACAGGGTTGAGTTGGAGGAAAGGCATGAGCATGAGGCAAGAAGACTACAAATACAGGATAATTACAGGAGCAGAGAGCAACCAGATGAAGGGGTGTGAAAAGACTGACAGCAGAGTAAAGTTGGGACAGGCTCTGAATGCTAAGCTAAGGAGCCTGACCTTTATTCTAAAGGAAAAGGCAGACCAGAAAGTTTCCGGATGACTGAGCTGAGCTTTGTGATTATCTTGATGGAGCGAAGACAGGGAGGTCAAAAAGGAGACTTGTCCGGTCGAGCATTAATGGGATCCTGAATAAGGGCAGAAGCAGACAAAAGGACAGAGGAGTTGTTTCAAAGAGAACCAATAGAACATAACTAAAGTAGGACATTAGGGTATTGGTGATGTGTTAAGCAAAAGGACTCAAGTGGAAGGGCTGTCATGAACAGAGACAGGTATAACAGGAAGAGGAGGAGGACAGTTGTCAAATTCCATCTTCCCTATGTCCTATTTTCTCTGGTATCCACACCCTCCTAAGATCAGGATTCATCCTGTGTTGCCTGGTTCAATAATTTCCAAGTCGCAGAGATTTTTAGAATGCCTGAACCTATCAAATCAAAACGGCTTGGGTGTGGGACTAGAAATGTATATTTTTAGCAAGTTTCCCAAAAAATTCTCAGGCATCCAGACCAGCACTGGTTCAAGGACTAGCAATCTGAAGCCAATGGTCTGGACAACTACAGTGACCTGCTAGCAAGTGCTCCTGCTGCCAGCCCTATCTCTTCCAATCATCCTTCTCGCTGAGCCAGAATTACTTTTGGAAATACAGATTTGGTCATATCTCACTGATCAAAAGACACGTCGGTAGCCCCCAGTGCCCACAGAATAGCTTAAATTTGTAAGGATGCTTCCGATAATTTCCTTTCTGAACACAGTTTCAATTTCTCTCCTTCAAACATGCTATATTTCAGCCAAAATTAACTCCCAGTATTTTCCTTACCTTCCAAGTGTCTCGTCCTAACACTATTCTCTCTCTGGAATTCCCTCCCATAGTTTCCTAGCCCTGCTTGGCTCTGTACAGCTACTACCACCATTCACAGGCTCAAACCTACCCAATTTTCCCAGTACCTAAAGTAGGGATTAAAAACTATAATCTAGGGCCGGGGATATAGTTCAGTGGCACAGCACCTGTTTGCTAAGTGCAAGGTCGGGAGTTTGATTCCTAGTACAAGAAACTATAGTCTGCCTGCTTCTGCCGTAAAGAATATTGCTATGGAATTCAGTACATTGGGACACAGTCACACCCATTAATTTCCTTATTGTCTATGGTTGCTTTTGTGCTATAATGGTAGAATTGAGGAATTGTGAAAGAGACTTTATGATCAACAAAACAAAAATATTTACTATTTAGCCCTTTATAGAAAAAGCTGACCCACCCCTGGCCTAAAGCTACAGCTCTTTAAATTACTGTAGCCTTTGAGATAGATGCCCTTGGGATTCAGTTCTGAGGGTCCTGCTTGTTCTTAAGCCCTCTCAACTCCTGTAAGTTCTTCTGATAACTGGCTCACATTTAGCTGGACCTTCTTCAATCCGAGAAGGCATTACTAACAGGGAAAGGGAATATCATAAAGGAGATTATAAATGTCAAAATGTGGGATCTTTTTGGAGAACTATCGGTAAAGTTAGAACATGTACAGGAATTGTAGGAAATAAAGCTACCCAGTTCATCAGGGGCTTGATTGGGAAAAGCCTTGAAGGCCATGCTAAGTTTCTACTTTGAACTGCAAGTAATTGGGAGCCTTTAGGTAGCTGAAAGTGTAAGCCCAGAGTCAGAGGAAGTGATCAGCATTGAACAAAGAGGATTTGCGGAAATAACCCACAGTGGCAATAGGTAAGGTGAGGTCAGGAAAAATACCACCAGGGAAAAATAGAAAATAAACTGAGGTCAACTAAGGAGTGTCCAGGATCTATAGGGCTGGGCCAGCAGCAGATCTGCGCCAAGAGTCAGAATCTGATCAGGAAAGCCAGGGGACTGGCTGGGGTTGCAGATGAATGTATAGTCTGTCTCCCTCAGACCCCATGTTCCCAAGAGCCACCTGGCTGTGACACGGGGCTTTTTTTTTTTAACGGTATTGGGGACTGAACTGAGGGCCTTCACAATGAGTTACATTTGCAACATTTTTTTTTTTAATTTTCAGACAAGGTTTAGTTTTTTCTAAAGTGCCCAGACAAGGCTTGAACTTGTGATACTCCTGCCTCAGTCTCCCAGAGTGCTGGGATTACAGGTATGCACCATAGCGCTTGGCTGACACAAGCTCTCTATGCAAAGAAAATATCACAGTGGAATGCAGCAGGTATACGTAGGAAGAGTCTAAACTCATTTGATAGACTCTCACTGGTATAGATAGCACCTATACCTTTTTTCACTCCACATCTCAAAGAATCCATCCAAAAGCTGATGTACTGACACATTCCCTGCAAAGCTACTGACCCTGTTCCCAACTGAGCCTGGCAAGAGAGGCAATGGGGGAACTAAGGGCAGCAGCCTATTCTAGGTGGGCATTTTCTGCAGTCTGCAAGCCCTGGACTGTCAATTAGGGGAGGTGGATTGTTCTGTCTGATTCTGCAGGTGACCAACTATGTAACCTTCAACAGAATCCTAGCCCTTTCTGGACTCCTGATGTCCCATCTGCAGTGAGGAGCTGGAGATGAACTTGAAGGCTTGTCCCACTCTCTGATCTCCACAGCACTCATGTGACTGCCCCCCTTGATGGCAGAGTTCCAGGGACACGAAGCCCATGCAAGACCCTATCCATCCACCACAGCCGTCTTGAATTCCCTCCCTCAGCCAATATGCTTTAGTCGTAGCTTTCCAGGTAGTACTGGCAGCAGCAAGCACGCCCTCCCCCAGTGCAGCCTGCCTCTTTCCCATTACCAGGGGACTTGCTCTCCCAGTAACAGTACTGTTCAGAGGTGCCTGCGCTACTCCCAGGGCCCTAGAGAACCAATTAAGGTAAGGAAACTGTTCATGAGCTAAAAACCTACCCCGCTGATAGGGATCCAGAGCTCCAACTTCTGCACCTGCCCTGCACCCAGCTCAGCCCAGCTCAGCAGCCTGCCTTCCACCTAGGAGACTTAGGTCACTGCCTACAGCAGACCCCACAAGGTCAGACAAGCTGTTCAGCTTGAAGTAAGCAAACAGCAGTCACCTGCCTCCCAGGCACCTAAAACTAAGCCTCACCCTTGCCTCCAGTTCTCGCCCAAGGCCACTAGAGCCCCTCCAGCTGAGCTACTCATTAAGACAAGAGTCATTTCCCTGTCTGACTCTGAGGTTGTAACATCTTGCATCATTGCCTTTTCTTTGGATCTTCCCAAAGTTCGCAAGGCCTGCCCGCCAAGGGACAGCAATTGCTCCCCCTTTCAGCATCAGCAGTATACAAGCAAAATGCTGTCACCCTTATGTAGTTTCTAGTGCCTGCTTGGCAAGCATGCGGTGGTTATTTAGCACTTGTAGAGCTCGTCAAGCCCAACCTCAAAAGTCAGAGGGCCTGTGATTGCCCAGTCAATTAGTGCTAGAGACCGGACAGCTCCAGAGCCCTGACTTCCACATGAGGGTTCTCACATCTTGTCTGTACCCTCCCCCTACTTTGAAAATGGAAAAAGTAAGATCCTAAATGGGTAGAGTCCTGCATTTGGACATAAAAATCAAAATTCATCAGCCATAACTTGACATTTGGTTGCTTTGATGAGAAAAAAGAGTAATGTTCCTTTTACTCATATGGAAAGGAAATACATACCCAATTGTTTCTCTCTACCTGTGACATAAAGCAACAAACAAAACCATAAGAATCCTGAGGCTCTTAAACACAGAGACAGCACGTGGTAAATGTCAGTTACAGGGATGCTAGTTCCTTAGATCTTGCTATT